AAAGCGCCTTTCAATAAACTCCTCTTGAACTAAATTGATTGAATATGATGAATTCAATTCCTACCCCCCTTTATCATTTATTATAACAATCTTAAGGACAATCCTAAGGACGCAGATTATTCAGTACTAAAAAAAGAATATAAACTAAAGAAAAAGAATTTTCTTCAAAAATAAAAGGATGAACTTAAAATTTATTTAACCCTGTCATATGCAACATTTCTGTTTAAATTTCTGGGAAGCGTTTTTAACAGAGTATTAGTAAATCTAAAAACTGAGATCCGTAGATGTATTTTCCATTAGCCACAGTATAAGCATTCCAAAAGCTAAATTTCATTGTATTGCATAAATTTTTGTTCCAACAAAGAATTTTACTGAATTGTTTATGACATTTGTCCTTCCTTACGGCATACAATGATGGATAAATTGATGGATGGTATATAAGAAGAACTAGGCTGATGTGTCTATTTTTCTATAGAAATGTTTTATCAAAAACCGATCTCAGTTTGATCAAAAATAATTTTTGAAAAAGAATAAAATAATTAAATATCATGAAAAAGTTTTAGTCCCTGAAGTTTAATATCTTTTTAAACTAACCTGAGAATCTGATTTATCAATATATATATATATGATGTTTATGATTTAGAATAAGCAATACAATAAACAGAATATTAATTATATAAGTATATGAGAACGGATGTACTGATAGAGGATATAAATAAGGAAAGAATATTTCTAACAAAATCAATCCAAATTTAAAGGAATGTTGAAATCTGATGAAAGACAAAATGAAATAAAATATAATATAGAAAAAAAGAAAGAATATAGATTTATTAATATTGATCGGAATATTTCAAATATTTTTGTAATCAGGTATTTAAACCGATAAATGCGTCGCCATTTTTTTTGAATAATTTTTTTCTATTTCAATTTGATTGATTTGCATCGATACTTGAATGGAATTCTCCTCCTGTATTTTTTTAAAACTTGATGTTTTTCATTCATAATTTGAATGTAAGACGTTGCCTTTATATTCGGTATATACAGTCTGTTTTTTCAATGATCCAAAAAGAAAGAATATAAAAACATATTCATAAAAAAAAAAAATTTTTTGATTAATTTACAAATTTTTCAAAATAAAAATGCCCTATTATAACAAATTTGTTTTTCTTATTAATCAACGAAAACAAATATCTATGATGAAACATTTTACTTTTTTTAAAAAAATGGATATTGTACCTAATAAAATAATATAAATATATTATTCAATCAAAATCACACCTTTCCATTCCTTTTCTATTTCATCATTCAAAATATACAATTGATGGTTTAAATCAGTCTCAAAATATTGAAACTGAAGGCTTCTTTAGTAATTAAATATTCGATTAAGTATATGTTAACAAGATCATATATATATATATATATATATATATATATATATATATATATATATATATATATATATATTTTAGGCACATTGAATACAACAGACAAGGTGCTTTTATTTGACAGTTTTTTTATAAAATTTCTCATACGATCTAATAATTTTTTTCTTTTCCAGATGATAAATTATATAAAAACTGTCCGAATGTTCTTTTTATTCGAGCGCTTTTGGCTATACATTTAGCCATTTTTCAGGATTAAATATTTTAACTGTTAAATAAGAAATAGTTTGTTGTATGTATATTTTATAAAAATGTTTTCATTTTTTTTTCAAAACACATGTCAAGAATTGTGTCCATGTTCATAGTTAATATTATTGTGTTTTTTTTTTTTTTTGATTTTATCAGGCTTTCATTATTTTTTTTGTTCTTTATCCTTTGTTTTATTTATTTTTTATATATATATATATATATATATATATATTTATATAAAATTTTTTTGAAATTTTTGTTTTAGTAATATAAAGACCCTTCCCGACCACCTAGTAAAAAAAACATATTTAATTATAATTTTGGATATAAATGAGATTTAGGAAAAAAAATTGTGCAAAAAAAAGGTGACTCACTTATTTCCTGCAACTAGTAATCAATAGAAACATAAACGAACAGCTTTAAATAAAAAGAATAATAGAGGTATAATTTATTTATAATAGGTAATATAGTTCAAAATATTTAATAATCTATGGGTCCTCCTTTATTTTGAATAACCTTTTCAACCCTTTTTTTCATTGACTTGATTAGGTTCTGGTTCTCCAAGCATTGAATTCCATTCGGATATGAAATTCACAATCAAATCCTCTTTGTTGCTCAACTGCTTTCTCGAGAGCCTGTACTTTATAATGCTCCATAAGTTTTCTATGGGGTTGAGGTCAGGAGATTGGGGCGGCCATGTCATAACACTCACCTGCTTCTCATCAAAGTATTCCTTCATCAATTTTGATTTGTGACAGGGAGCATTATCCTGCATAAAAATGAGCTTGGTGGGGTCGATTTTCACCCTTTCAGCAGAAGGGAGCAGACAAGACTCTAAAATTCTCTTGTACTGCTTGCTCCTGAGGGTCTTTTCAATAGGTTTTAAGAAACCAGTTCCATGAAAAGAAAAGCATCCCCAGAACATTATACTGAACGGATGCTTGACAGTACTTACTGCTAAATTCAAAGAGCTTTCAAAGCTTCTTCTTTTTTCTTTTAGATCGCTTATCCTTTGAATTTAGCTCAACTTTCGTTTCATCGGAGAAGAGAACATTTAGTAAAAAAAATCAGATGAGTCACTTTTATCGAACAGCACTATATACCCATATATATATATATATATATATATATATATATATATATATATATATATATATATATATGATTTAAAATAAATTAAATATTATAAATTTTTATTTGGATATGCTTTATTTTTTGTTTATTTTGAAGTCTTTATTAAATTTAATTGATATATTCAAAAAAAACATGAGACGCTTATAAATTCAATTTTAAGTTAAAACAATCCAAAATGTAATTTCAGTAATAAAAAATATAAGATATGGCAACAAAGATCAAATATTTTTAATTGATTTCATGAAATTCACTTGGTAAAAGATAAAATGGATAGAAGAAATAAATATTTCTTTTTATTTGCATCTATATCAAATACTTTTATCCAATTCTAAAAAACGTTTATATATATATATATATTTATATATATATATATATATATATATATATATATTTATATATTTTTTTAAATGTTTTGGCTAAAAATAAAATAAAATATATATATAAAAATTTTATAAAATTTTTTTAAAATACTGTTTAATCATTGGAATAAATTTTATTTTGAACTTTTTTCAATATTAAATATTTTTATAAATTATTTATGATTTAATTTTTTAAAAAAACTTAAATAAAATAAAAAAAAAAGAAAAAATATAGATTTATTTCTTTAAAATTTGTTTTAAAAATTTATTTAATCTTCAAAATAAAGATTTATAAATGTTTTTTAAGTTGCATTTTTTATAAATACCTTTATACAAGACTTTATTCTGTACACACATTATATTATATATATATATATATATATATATATATATAAATTTTTGGTTTACTCGTTTGGAAAAAAATTTATAGAATTATATTTTTAACTTAACAGTAGAACAATTCGGTACATTTTTAAATTTTCTTTTAAAAAATAAAAACCTATTTTAAAAAAGGTTTTTTTCTTAGTCTTTTATAGCCAATTTTTTTTTTAAATTCCTTTTAATGTTATATTTATCTTTCCACTTTATTTTTGTAGGTTTTTTTTTTTCACTTATATATATATATATTTATATAAACTATATATTTATATATATATTTATATAAAAAAAAAGTTATTCAAAAATCATTTTTTGATTATAAACCATATGTTAAGTTGATATTCCTGCAAACCATTTATGTCCAAGTAATTTTTAAATTTCAAATAAAAAAAAAATCTTTTTTTGGAGGTTTAAAATTTTAATAAAATTCCAGTTATCATCCATGAATATTGTATATTATTTATATATACATATATATTTATATATTTCATTTATTGTAATAAATTCTTTTTTTTTTAATTAACTGTTTTTAAAAGAATCATATACTTGGACATTTGTTTTGAATTTTAAAACCAATGAAACTTCAAAAATTTTGACTATATCAATATATATATATATATATATATATATATATATATATATTTTTCTTATTTATATATTTATAACTTTTTGAGTACCAAAAAAGAAAGGACAAATGAATGTTTGAGATTTTAACAGAATATTTGTGTCCTCTTCAGAATCGTTATAAATCCGTATCCTAAATTAAAATACATTTTCTATCTTATATTATATATAAATATTTATATATATTTAAATATAAATTGATATATATATATAAAATAAAATAAAAAAACAACTATAAAATTACTTTTAACATAGATTTTCTTCATTCTCTTTTTATTTTTTGATTTTCTTTTTTTATATAATTTCATTTATTCTCTCTTTCTTATCTTTTTGTCTTTTTTATCTTATTTTTTTTCCTTTTTTTTTTCTTTTTTTCTGTATTTTCAACATCTGATATTCTCTAATTTTTCTCTCCCCTTCAATTCCATTCTTTTTTTTTGTTTTCTTTTATTTTTTTCCCTCTCTATCATCTCTTATTCGTTCCATTTTCCCCTCTCTTTTTTCTTCTTTTTCCTTTTTTTTTTTCTTTCCTTTTTTTTTCTCTATTTTTTTATTATCAGTTTTCTTGTTTCTTTCAAAATCTTTTTCTTTCTAGAGAAATAAGATTCTCTTTCTCTTTAGGATTTTTATTTTTCCGAACAATCTCTCTTTTTTTCTTCAAATCTTTCTCTTTTATAATTTCAATTTCTTTATTCAAATCATAACGACTCAAACTTTGTGAATATTCAATTTGAAGATGAGGATAACCTTTAAATATATCTTTCTCTATATTTTCCTAATTCAGGTTCTTTTTTCTTTGAATAAGAAGGATGATGAGAAGTTTTTCTTTTTTATAAAATTTCATTTTAAAATTCGTTAAAACTTTTGTTTCTTAATGGCAATCTTTTTTCTCTCTCCTCTTTCTTTCATTTTTTTCCTCTTTTATTCCTTCTTCTTCCTCTCTCATCTCTTTGGTCCTTTTCTATCTTTTTTCTAGTTTTAAAAAATTTTATTTCTTTCCTTTTTTTTTTTTTCTAAAAATTTTGTTCTTCTTTCTCTCTCTCATCTCTCTTATTTTTATATTTTCTTTTGATTTTACAAATTTTTTAGAATAATTTTCCTTTTTTTGAATTTGTCTTTTTTTTTTTAAAATCGATCATAAAGATTAAACTTTTTTAACAATCTATTCCAAATTTCTTGATTTTCTTTTTTTTAGGAAAATTTTCTTTAATAGCTTCTGATTTACAAATTTTAAAATTTTTCTTTCTTTTTTCTTGTTTACAGTATTCTTTATATCTATCTATCTAACTATTGAATTATCTTCTATCTATGCTATTTATATATATATAAATATATGTATATATATATATATATATATATATAAATCAGAACTAAAAGGAAATATTTTTTGATATAAAAAATAATCTATCCTATCTCAGCTCTATCCAGCTTTCCTCTAAATTTTTTTTTCTCTTAAATCTATCTATCTTTTTTATTAATTTATTTCTTTAGGAATTAAAATTCTATCTATCTATTCTATCTAATCTTCTATCTAATCCATCTCAATCTAGATTCATAATATATTTTTTTTTGAGCACTATTTATGTCTACAATCTTTTTTCCATCTATCCAATTTGATTAATAAATGGTCCTTCAAGGATTTCAAAGAAGGAATGTAACTTTCTCATTTTCTATTTCTTTCTCCCATCTATAAATCTATCTATCTGAAAAAGAATATATATTTAAATTCTCTATTTTCTTTTTCATTTATTCAAAAATAAAATTCATCTATCTAAATATTTCGGAAATGGTTTTGGCATTGAAAAAAGGTTCTATTTTCAATTTTAAGGATGTATGTATTTATTTATCTTGAAACAAAAAAACAGTGTATTCATCAACCTCTCGTTTTTAATTTAAAAAAGATAACATCTTATATTTCTTTTGGATATTTAAATTTGATATTTAAAATTTGATATTATATTTTATCATATCTATTTTATTAAATCTTCTATCTATCTATCCACAGATATATATCTATCTAAAATTTTCAGAACTGAATCATCCATAAAATATTCGTTCAAAAATGTTCTTCTGGCAAAAAAAAAGGAATTGCTATAATTCTTTTTTTTAATTCATTTCTTCTTTCGATAAAATGTTTCCAGACCTAAGATAAAATGAATTTTTCTCATTTATGAAATGCCACCTTAAAAAATCTTTTAAAGTGTATCCAGGCATCAAAGTTTATGTGATTTTTTTGGCAACTTTCTTTTTTCCTGCTAATTTATCTAAATATATCTGTTTATCACTTGCTAAAATCATTTATATAGGTGAAAAATCCATCTTGTTTCTAATGGAAGACTTGACATCAAACAGGAGGAAGGGTCGACTAAAAGTAAAATTTTCAATTAAAAACTTTATTTGGTTGTATTTCAAAAAGAATTTACATTCAAAATATCTATTCTTATTTATGAAAAAAAACATTTTTAATAAATTATCAGTTATAAAATTTTGTTCAAAATTTTTTTCCTTATTTGAACCTTTTCAATTTTTTGGGTCAACTAAATCTTTTTAATTTTTTTTCATTAATTTAAATAATAAATTCTATGATGAAATAAAAATAAAATTCTATATCAATTTATCTATCTTTCTAAAATGTTATTATTCAATCTCTTTAAAAAACTGGATATTTTCAGATCTTTTCTATCTTTCTAGATCTATCAATTATTTTCTGTTATAATTATATCTATCTAAAATATCTATCTAAGTTGGTATCTATCTCTATCTATTAAATATCTCTGTCATTGATCTATATCTAAATATCTCATCTATCTAAACATTCATTGTCTTAATCAGGTTATCTATCTATCTATTAAAATCTATTATCTATCTAATTCAAGAATATATTCAAAAAATAAAAGTATTTTATCTATAAATATATTTTTCTATCTTTATCTATTTGTAAATCTTCATTTTTTAGATCTCATATCGATCTTCTATCTATCTATCATATTTATCTTTTGGTATCTATCTATCTATCTATCTATCTACCAAATTTATTATCTCAAAATAAGTCTATTATCTATCTATCTATCTATCTATCTATCTATCTTTTTCTATTTATCTTTTATAGATTTCTTCAGATGCCATTATCTATCTATCTATCTATTTTATTGTATCTATAATCTATCTATCTATGTCTATTTATTTTTAGCATCTATCTATCTAGAAAATCTATCTATCTATCTATCTATCTATCTATTCTATGTAATAATTTTTCTATGATTTCTCTCTATCAAAACTTGATATGAGTTAATTTCTTCTGTCTATCTCCCATTTATAATTGTCTCTTTATATATATATATATATATATTTTAAATATATGTATCATCTGTACTATAAATATATTAATATTTAATTTAAAAATCAGTTTCGAACCATTTGGCTGTATATTAAAGTATATTATATTAAAATTCTGTCTTTTCAAATGTAATATATGTAATTTTTTAAAATTTTCATTTATAAAAATATAAACATTGTCTATTTCTGTATTTTCTATCAGTTTTCATTTTTCTATTCAATTCCAAAATTGCAAATTAGATCTCTTAAATTCATATGTGTATATATCTTATAACAGTTTTATTCATATAAATTTTTATGATTTTCATTTTTGTCTGAATCCTTAATACCTTCATTTTATTTTAATTCAAAAAAAATTAATAAATAAATTAATAATGTTTTTAGCATATAATACATTTTTTTTAAATTATTTTAATTTAAATTTTCAATATAAATCATTTTAGTTTTTATTGTTTTTAAGTCATTTTATTAAGGCAAAATTTTTTTCCAAATAACTGTGAATTAAAAATCAAATTAAACCAACAGATTGTGTTCTTTCCATCGCTGGGGACATTCACTTTGGTAATAATAAAATAAACATGAATGTTTGGTGGTGGTTTTCTGTGAAATGATGAAAAACCCATTAAAATATAATTCTTCGGTTTATATGACTTAATCTTGGCATAACGTTATTTACTTTATTTTACCTTTTTTCACAATAACCCATACGCAAAGAAAATCGATACCTAATATTTAAAATGAATTTTTAAAAATTAGAAAATCTTAAAAACTTTTTTTTTTTAATTAATTATTTCAAGATAAATATTTAATTTAATATTTTTGTGATTGAAAATTTATTCTGTTACATTTCAAAACGAATTTAAATTTATTGAAACTAGATTTTTTCAGAAAAAGATGAGTGAACTTATTTTATTTGATTTGTTATTCTCTTAGCACAACCTAATACACTTTATTAAAAATATTTCAAAAATAAAATATACTTTTCAGAAACTTTATTTGAGGATGATTAGTTGATTTTAAGTTTAATTAATCTGATTTGAAACAAATACTATTATTTTTAGTTTAAAATATCATAGGAAAGCATTTTTAATACGGAGGTAGGTGTTTTTATGATTTTTTAACAACTCTCTTCTTAAAGATTATTTTTTTTTGAAAATGTTTTCTTTTTTTCTGGGAAGAAATCTAGAAAAAATGATTTTATTAATATAACTTTTAAACAAAACAAATAAATTAAACTAAAGATTTAATCTTAAAATTTTAATTTTATTTTAAGTAATTTAATCTTTTATTAACATCTTCATTTTAGGTCTTAAATTTAGCCAAAAAAATGTTTTTTTTTGATAATTCTCCTATTGACATCCGTTTTATAAAATCAAATTTATTTGTAAAAAAAAAATAAAAAAAAAATAAATTAAATTCTTTTAAAATCAACACTAACCATTTTTAAACCAAAAATTTATGGTTTTTAAACATTTTTTAATTTAACAATTTTCCAGTACCTGATTTTTGTTACCTAAATAATGTGTTTTTCAGTTCCTATTAATGTTAACTCAAAGTACAAAGTTTGAGGTGCCAGTATGTAAAATATTTCAAATAAAGATTTATATTTAATATTTTTTTTTTTTTTTTTTCAAAATCAGGTATGATATACCCATGGTTAGTAGTGATGTAATTTAATTGATGGTGAGTCTTCTAGGGTTAAAATAATTTAAAACTAGAAATTATTCGAATTAATTCGAACCTTAATAAAGAATTCAAAGAGAAAAATAAAACAAATTTTTTAAACAATTATTCATCGAAAATTTTTTTATTCCTTAAGGCAATTGTCATCAAATTTTACTTATTATAAACCCAGGTTGTGTGTGTGTGTGTGTGTGTGTGTCTGTACGTTTATATATATGGATCGGATTTCCTACATTTTTCAACTGATTTCAACAAAACTTCACAGGACTACGTAAAATTACCTTGCAGTGGTTCTGACAGCGCCAAAAATGGAAAAAACAATTGTTTTTGCATGAAATCAATTTGAAAACACGATTAAGAGGCATTAAGAATGAAAGGGGGACAACTCATATCGAGTTATACTTATTATAAAACCCAGGTTGTTTGTGTGTGTGTGTGTGTGTGTGTGTGTGTGTGTGTGTGTTTATATATATGGGATCAGGATTTCCTACATTTTTCAACCGATTTCAACAAAACTTCACTTTTTTTTGCAGGTAGTGTTTCTTATTGTCTTGCACACTTTTTTCTTTATTTTTTACATTCAGAATGCTTTAAAAATTCCATTTACAAGACAATTGTTTATAATAAAATTCTATTCAATCGGTAGAGACTCATAACGATTGAAAAAATTTTTTTTGAGTTTGGGTTTGACCAATTCGTAAAAAAAAAAAAAAAAAAAATTAAGACATGCGTGTCCGTCAACCTTAAACAATAATCTTTGTCAATTTTATTTTTCAGTCTTTATGATGGTCGATACTTGATCTATCTCTTACTGTTACATCCCTGAGCAACGCCGGGCTCTACTGCTAGTATATATTATTTATAACAGCAATTAAAATCTTTTTTGATTAAATAATATCTTAGTGTTATTAGATTTTTTTTATTTTAATCTTTAACAAATAGATTTTTTCAATAACTGAAGTTTGTTGTTTTTTTGAAAATGTCATATAAGAAGAAGATTAAGATTATTCTATGATTTCTGTTTATAAATAATTTAAATATTAATCGGTGTAAAAATGAATTTCTCGAAATTTCATAAAAACGAAAAAGTGTGTGGGTGGTGGACTTGGGTGAAACCAACATGAAATGTTAACTGACATTAAAATAGGTATTTTTTAATAAGATTTTCTAAAAGAAAAAAATAAATTATGAATAATTCCCAAAAGTTTTTAAAATTCGACAATTATTTGATTTTTAAAAGAATTCAGAATAATCAGTTTTTTTTCAATTGGAAAAAGACGAAGCTTTTCTTATGGTAATTTATATTTTAAAACTTGAATGCAAGAAAAATATTTTATTTGGTTCTTTTTAAATAGATTAAAAAATAAATTTAAAATAAAAAATCCCTGACCCAAATTTTTTAATAATTATTTTGACGATAAAATTTTTTTTTTATTATTTAATATTTTCATTAATGATATGCTTTTCTTTTGAAGAATCATTTATAAGTTACCTATATTATAAATTATTTAAAAAAATTTCTGACAAATAATCATTATTTTAAGTCTGTCGAAACTTGAGGAAAAGTCCTGCCTTATTCAAAAATAATAATGTTGATGAAACATATACTATGTTTTTAAATGTTATAAAAAACAATTCCAGATTATTGCATTAATCACAAAACTATAACATTCTCTCGTAGGTTAACTTGTCACTTGATGAAACTTAATGAAATTTGATAATTTTCGATTATCTGAATCAATTCACAAATAACAGAAATAATAATGAATGAAAAGGCCATTAATTTTTCCGGTAAATGATTCCTATAAATTACAAATAGTTTAATAAATAGTTTTGAATTATTTTTTTATAACCAAGCATAAAACAAACAACTTGGACTAGAAAAAAAGGTTAATTTGGAACCTCAAAAATGTGAAGAAAACAAAAAAAATAATGAAATTTTGACCAAAAATAAATTAATTAAAACCAAATAATAGCAATGCCCAAAATTTTTTAAAAAAATTACAACTACAGTCTTTTTTTTTTTACCCAATTACTTATCTAAATTTTGTGCCAAAAAAAAACCCAACAAATGTTAAAGATAAAACAAAAAACTAAATCATATTCAAAAATAGATAATCTAGATTCATTAAAAAGACAGGTTGATAATATCAAATAAATATTATATATTCAACGAAAATATATATGTTACTCCATATAAAAAGGCTCAAATTCCCTGTTCAAGATATATCATTATTCATTGCCAAAAAATTTGAAAAAGAAATATAATAAACACGATATTTTTTTTAAATTTTTTAGACTTAAAAAAAATTCACAACAATTCATCTGATATTTTTTGTCTTATATTACATAAACTTCTGGACTAAATACATATAATAATAAGGACAAAACCTTTTTCTATTGGAAATGTATATTTCATAACATATAAAAAAAACAAATCGTTCTACAAAAAACGTCATTTTATGTGATATCTTTTTTAACTATGTCTCTGTTTTCAGGTTGACGATCATTCACCCTAAGAAATAAGAGGCCTGATTTAACAATGATTTTTGTATTTTTGCCATATACTCCCAAAACTTGCTCTCCATCTCTCGCCAGTTTATGTATTATTTTTCACTGTCCCATATACCTTCAATCTAAATGTGAGTTTAAACTTTCCAAACCGTTTTTTCAAGTTCCTTTTAATAAAGCTCATCTATTTCCTTTTTTCATTTTTTCCTTAGAATTCGTCGTTGCTTAAAGCAGGAAAAAATGGTATTCTCATAATAGTTCATAAAAAGACTATTCTGTTGCTGTTAAAGGAAAATTATTTCTGGGGTATTCAGTTGATTAAAAGCCATATAACTGGACAGATATCAAATAACAGTTCAATACTCTTATCTTTGTTTTGTTGTTTCAATTCTTTCTTCATCTTTGAGGAGATTGTCCAGCATTCACTGCCATATAAAAGGACTGATATTACATAACAGTTCATCATTCTTTAATTTTGTTTCCCTTGTTTAAATGATTCCAAATCCGTTTAGAGATTGTAATCTATTTAAATTAAAATATAGGATCATTAAAAATCATTACATAACAATTCAACCCCCTTTTTTTGTTTCTGTTGCTTCAAACTTTTAATCCTTAACTCTTGTCCAATCTTCACTGTCTATAGGAAATATTATTAACAGGTTCATACATTCTTTTTTCGTTGGAGTTTATTCAAGTCTCTTTATCTATTGAAGATTGTCCATTACTGCCATATAAGAGGACTGATACAACATACCATTTTGATGAGATTCTTTTCCTTATTTGTTTTTTGGCAAATTTAATGGATTAACGTTTCTCGTAAAAATTACTCGAATAAAATATTATTATTTACTTTGGATTATTTCTCTATAAATTTTTATTTAAGCTTAGCAATTTATACATCATCTATGTAGCCAAAGGTTAAACATTTAAACCATAGAGTTGATCTAATTTGAAGGAAAATTTGTTTTAATTGAAATTCATTATATTTTCGAATTATATTTTATATATAGAAAGATTTTTATTACTTTAAACTTATTTTTCTGGCTGCCCATATTTGAGTAGACGTTCCGTGTATTTTAAACAGTATTTTATTTCGTTTGAACATTTGAGAATTCTTATCAAAGAGAAGACTTTACGAATATTCAGGCCAATAGACAAAATAAAAACTGGTTAAATAAATGGTCAGTCTATTTATAAATATTGATATCCATAAAATAATAATTTAAAATGGATAGAAATATGTCGAATTATTAAATAAAAATTTACACAGATTCACAAATTCATCGACATATATAAAAAAATGTAATGGAAATATATATAAATTTAAATTATGTAACGACCTGTCTCTATCCAGCACCTAAAATAGTTTTACCGTTGAGGGATAATATGTATATTTATTAACAGTTACTTAGTTATGTTTGGGTTTGATGTTAAATATTTAAATTCATGTATATTATTTAATATAAGACTGACCAGGCAGTTTTTTTTCCTGGTAGGTTGCCATTTTTCTACGGTAGACCATTGTCATCAAACAAGTCTCTTCCTCTGTCCTTTATTTACCCAGTTGTTGGATTATAAAAGAAGAGAATTATTAGTAGCTCTGTTATTTGTTAATCGAATATTGTTTTTCTTAACGCTTTCCTACTAAAACTGCATCTCTTATATATATATATATATATATAATATATATATATATATATATATATATTGTTATATATATATAAAACGGGACCTAAAAAGAAAAGAAAAACCTTGTCTTTCACTATTTGTCAGATTTTATTTAATTGATATTGTATATATATATGTATATATACTTATAATTTATTTATCTATATATATATATATATATATATATATATATATATTTAATATTTAGATTTTCATCAATAACATGAAAAAGTAGATTAGTAGAAAACGCCTGATTACTAACGTCTGATGAAATTTAGTTAGTTTAAATCATGATGGCAAGTCCATTATTTTTCATTTTTTGATGTAATATCCGAAAATAAACAATATTGCAGCTACTTTTTGTAATTGATCTTTTTAAATTGAATGTTACTTACGTTGTCTACATTGATTTTTGTTTCCTTCTCATTTTACATGGATATATATATATATATATATATATATATAAATATCAATGTCTGCCTTTATGTTTTTTATCTGATATGTGTGTTTTTATTTATCTGTCTATTTATCTATCTATTTGTATAGTCACTCTTCAGTCCATATTATCTATCTATCAACCTTGTATATATATATATATATAATCTATAAATATATATATATAAATACATTATTTGGTAAATATATATATATATATATTTTCAGATATACAATACTATATATATATATATGTTATATACATTGTGTTGTGCATAAAAATGCATGTGTAACGTGTCAACCTCTGATGAGCTGCAATCAAACATTTTCTTTTTTGAAAACATGTTATCGTAGATGCAAATGTATAACAAAAAAATAGGAATGGTGTGTATTGTTGAGAATTAATAAAATTTAAATCTATTTTAATATATGATTTGGTTATATATTCTTTGTATATTTGATTTAATTTTCAATTTTATTTATACAGCCCTTTATCAACACATATGTCTAAATTGTTTATATATAAATCATAATCTATTTTTCATATATCTTTCAGTGTTACTTTGTTTTCTACTTTTCAAGAAATATATATATATATATTTATATATATATATATATATATATATATATATATATATATATATAAAAAAAGAAAAAAAAATATATAATCCGGTTATTCTTACTTAGATATTTTTATTTTTACAAAATAGTGCTCGTATATCAATTGTTACAGAGCATTAATATTTAAATTAATCTGATATTCGTTTAAAAATTTTAAATCAATTAATTTTTAATAAAAATATATATATAATAATTATATATATAATTTATAATAATATATATATATATATATATATATATATATATATATATATATATATATATATATATATATATATATATATAAATCTCTTGGTAATCATTCATTTTTAGATTAAATCCTGAGAGCTCAATGATAATTCAGAGAGAATAATTTAATTTTTGAAAAACAGACCAAAGAAGGCTCCATTTGTAATAATTAATTTTTTCAGAGAATTTTATTTTTCACTGGACCTTCAGACTTTACTTTCAAAAGGTGAAACGAAAAATGAATTTAAAATTTACATCAAAACCGGCCATGTATTTTTGTTTATATAATTTTACATAGAGGGTGGTGAGTGAAAGTGTGATTAGACATGGTCGAGTTAAGAGATATAAGGGAGAGTTTAAAATTTATTTATATATTTTTTTTTATTTATTTATTTTTTTATAATAGTTAATATTTTAGGAAGGAGGAAAGGTTCAGATATATTAAGTCATATATATATATATATATATATATATATATATATATATATATATATATATATATTAGAAAGAGAGAGAGAGAGAGAGTTTTGCGTTAATATTAAATTTGTGACATCCTTCTACTAGATTGAGGCGATTCGCTTTCAACCCTTATTGCGAGTTTGATTAATGTTTAGCCTTTTCTTAAATCTCTTACTATTTATGTTCGATTTTTGAATATTTTATCTGGTATCTATCTATCTATCTATCTATCTATATATATATATATATATATATATATATATATATATATATATATATTAAAATCATTTTCGGAAGGATTCCATTTTCAAAATATATATATTGAAAATGAATTATTTTAATATATTTTATTTAAATTTTTTTATAAATACAAATATTTACCATAATATTTGTTTACATAATAAACACTATTGAAACATTTACAGAACTGAATTTATTGAACTATTTGTATCTATAAAAATAACGTATAAACAAAAATATAAAATTAAAATTATCGATTTAGTCCATTTCTCTAATATATGTAAAAATTAATTTCATATATATATATATATATATATATATATAAGAGAAAGTACATTGTGCAAATGCATAAACATCATATACATATATATATATATATATATATATATATATATATATATATATATATATATATATATTTTGCATTGAATAAATGTGTCTGTATTTTGAAATCAAAAAAGAACATTTCAAATACTCATAATAAAAAATAAAATATTTTATATTTTTCTTTTAATACGTATTTCATATATATATATATATATATATATATATATATATATATATATATGTTAAATTTGTACATCGAAAATATACACATAAACATATATATATATATGTACATTTGTCCATGAATATATATATATATATATATATATATATATAATATATATATATATATATAAAGTGTGTGTGTCAGTTGTCCACACATTACCCATATGAAAATATATATATATAGTAATATATATATATATATAACTTTTTAGAAAATACTTTCAGAAAAGAATGTCCGTATACGTGTGTGCGTTTCTGTATGTGTTACAAACTTTCTTAAAGAATTGATTAAAAAAATAACAGAAATATAAACAAGTAATGAACATATCGGTGACGTTTATAATTTTAAGGTATTTCGCATTTATTTATGCTTCATTAGAAAATATAATACATATATGTATATGTGTGTGTGCGTGTTTGTGTGCGTGTATGTGTATGCGTATGCGTGTATTTTTGTTTGTGTTTGTTTTTGTGAAAAAGCAATTTCCCATATTTCCTTTGATACCTTTCAGTAAATACTATATTAGAATTATTCAAGTGATTTTCTTAAAAATATTTTGATTTTCATGATAATATTCTTTTTTTTCAACAACCATTTTGGGCAAAATTTTCAGAATATGTGGAATTCAGGTGATAATAAATGATTTTATGAGAAATATTTGATTGAATGATTTCTGAACACCCTGAAATATGTAGTTAGACTATTTGGAAATTAAGAATATGTTTACTTGAAACAACATTTATGTCATCGACAAAACTAAAGTATTTCTGTTTGCAATAAAAAGGAATCGATGAAAATAGAGTTTTAAATAAATTACTCCAGAAAGAAAAAATACTTCATAAAATATCTTCTATCTATCTATAGGCAATATATATTAGCCTAAGTTCATATCTATCTATCTATCTATATATCTATTATCTATTTATTTATCTATCTACACATATATATCAGTCTGTTCATATTTATCTATCTATTCTATCTATCTAATCAACTTATATATATCAGTCTGTTCAAGATCTTTTCCATCTGGGATCAAAATATCTATCTTACTATCACCATATATATTAGCCTGTTCATATCTATCTATCTTTCTTCTTTCTGGGGATCTATCTTTATCTATTCATTTATCTATCTATCTCAGTCTGGTAAATTAACAACCATTTTTTCTATCTTTTTTATCTTTCTTTTTCACTTTTCTTTTCATCAAAAATATATATTAATAGGGTATTCACTTTTATCTTCTATCTATCTATCTATCTATCATCTTTTATCTATATATATATATATATATATATATATATAAATGTTTCATATCATCTATAATCTATCTTTCTAAAAACCATATTAGTCTCTTCATATCTAATAACAATCTTTACATAACTATATATGGTATGTTTTATCTATCTATCTATCTTTTAGTTCAACTATATATATAAGCATCTTAAATATCATACTGGGTCTATCTTTATTATCTAACTATCTATCACTCTTCTATTTATAAAGATATATGCCATCAAGGTTCATATGGTCTATCTGTCCTTCTACAATTGAAATCAATAAGGAAATAAGCCTTTTGTTCATATCTATCTATTACTATCTATTTATAACTATATAAATCAGTCTGTTTCATATCTTTTTATTATGTATCATATCCTATCTTCACTATATATTTTTAATTTTAAATCTATCTATCTATCTATAACTATATATATTTTAGTCTCTTCATATCTATCTATCTATCTATCTGATTTTTTGTTATTTCCTCATAAATAGGTCATCCAAAAGTATCTTTAAAGTCTTTTTCTACAACCACCCCTTTAACTTTTCTGTGGCTTTTATTTGGACAAAAATTAATATCGATTGTAAACATATCGAATATATGATCCAAAATCTTCCGTTTTTTTATTTAAAAGAAATACATTGCTATGAAATGGTTGATAAGACCAATCTCAGTATCTTCATCAAAAATATCTCCAATATCTAAGTATCTTTTAAATACCTATTTTATTTTTTTTTTCAATATTGAGTAAGGCAAAATCATATTTTTTTTTACAATGATTTTCTTTATTTAAATGAGGATGATTCTTTCTTTAGTTTCGGATTAAGAGATAAAGTTCATGTGGATATGTGGGGGAAGTTCAACGGTTTAATATATTTGAATCCTGTTTGACAAGAAGCTTTGTTGAAATTTTATTGGTCTTAAAGCAAAGGTTCCTTTGGACTAAAAAGCTGATTTGATTGCATCACTTTAAATCTTTCACCAAGTCAGGTTATTTAAATTCAAATAGAGGGTGGTTCCCATCAATTTGCAAAAAACATTTAAAATGTTTTTTTAGAAATGAAAATCTTTCAATTTAATGGAATTATACTTGTACATTTTTTTACAGTCACAACATAACTGATTTTTTATTCTATCTTAGCTCAGATATAAATATGAAATAAATATATGTTATGTCACACAAACTTATAATAATATAAATCTAATATTTAGTTTCTATATTTGATAGCTATGATTGTAAAAAAAGAAAACAGTAGTTTAGGAGGGGAAAAACTAATGAATCCTTTATTTCTCCATTTATATATATATATATATATATATATATATATCTAAATATTTGTATATCTATAAAAATTCCTTCATAAGATAAAAAAAAAATAAAAGAGTTTTTAATGGAAAAAATTGATTTATTTTATTAAATTTTTCTAATATATATATATATATATTTATATATATATATATATATATAAGATATATATATATATATATATTTTAGACTTTTTTTCTTTTCAATGAACATTTAAAAGAACATCATGTCATTTATTCTTTCTTTCTAAATATATAAAAAAAATCATTCAATAGTAAACAAGAACTTAAATTTTCTATGAAAAGAAAATTTTGGTATTTTTTTTATAACTTTTATCCTTCGTATATTATAAAAATTATTTCGTTATTTCAAAAGGATTAACAATAAAATAAATATTTTAATACATCTAAATTATTTAACAAATTGCTTGAAATTAAATATGCTATAAATCTTTTTTTGAAAATTATTTCTCTTTATTTATATATCTATATATATATATATATATATATTTATTTAATAAATATATATATTAGGAAAATATATAATTGATATTTCGTATCGTCAATGTGACAATAAATAAAAGCAATTAAATAATATTTTGTTACTTTTACTTTAATAAAAAGGATGCTAGAAAATAAAAAAAAACGCATCCTCTCCCTCGAGAACAAAATCTATTTTCCATACCTGAAATGTCTGTAGGAACAGACGAAATTGTAAAAAAAATAAAAACGACCTTATGAAACTGGAATTTATAAACAAGGATCATATCATTCATATACAGGTTCGTTTCGTGTATCTTATTGAAATTGTTTGCGAAAGATGTATTTCATGCCATTTCCAATCATTAACCTCTATATTTGTTTTTACTATGAATGATTCATGTAGTTAAAAATTAAAAAATGCAAATATTCATAAATATATATATATATATATATATATATATATATATATATATACATGGATATATATATGTCTTTTTAATTATTCAATGTTATTGCGGTCAAAAAAGTTAAATGTGTGATTTCTTTTCTTTTGTAAATAATTTTATACCAAATTTACATACGCTCTATCCCTTTATTGACACACAACAAAAGAATGGAGTACTTTAAAAATATAGGCATAGAAATTCCTCTTTGGACGGATTTTATTTTATTTTAATTTATCCCATTCTCAGATGTCTCTGTCCTTGGGACATTTTTGCAGATAAAAACAGAGGGGAAATGAGTGGGAATTATTAAATTAGAAAATAAATAAAAGAGAATGAGAAAAGCTGCCCTAAATTTACATGGAAAGATGTTAATATAAGATTGAAATATTCACAAAAAGCTTCAAAATGTCATGTCTCATTCTCGTTTTAATAGCAAACTATTTCATTCAGTTCTTTAAAACTAATCCAAGTCAAGGTCATATTGTATACAAATACAGAATATGTTTTATCACATATATATATATATATATATATATATATATATATATATATATATATATATATATATATAATATGATCATATTCCATCTATAAATTCGTTATGTTCTTTTATATATAACATTTTGAAATAAATGACAATACTTTATATGTAAAATAAATACAATATATGTTTATCAGTGTATAAGAATTTAAGACTTTATAATAAATATTCTAAGCCAATGATAAAGTTTTTTTAATCTGGCTCAGCCAATATAAACAGTGTCGCCTTTGTGTCAAATATATCAGAATATATCGCCCTTCTTTTCCTATGTAATATTTTCCTTTGTAACAATTCATACCAGAAAAGTATATAATAAAACCCAAAAACAGTGATTCATAAAACAACAAACGCAATTCGACGTCGTCCAGCAACAATAAAAACGCATCCGTTTTCTTTAAAGCAATTAATAGATAATATTGATAACAAATCATGACATTCTGAAACGAATTGACTTTATTAATCGAGGAAAAATCAAATAAAACAAAATTATAATTGTAAAAATATTTGCCGTCTCCATTCTCTTATAAGGATGTTAAAAAAACCTTTTTACAGAGAAAGGAAAAAATTTGTTGAGAACAAATGCATGAGCCAACTTATTTTATTTTCTAATAATGAATCAAAAACCAAAAACTTGCGGAAAAAAGTTGATAATTTTGTGGGACATTGGGTATATTCTCACCAATGTTATTTACAAAAATATATGAGTTTTTTTGTTTTCAAAAACATCGAAACCATTTCATTTTAATCAACCAAAATATTCGTTGAAAATATTTGAGGAAAGAAGAGCCAACGCTTTTTGTTGCTTTAACTGTTAAAAAATGGAAAATTATGACATGTACCATGAATATCTTATGGCTTTTGTTTTATTTTAAGTTGAAATCAATAAATATTATTATAAATTGATTTCTAATTTGCCAACATTAGAATAATAGACATTTAAATGTAGGAGGATGAATTGCAAAAGATAAAACTTTGTTAGCAATCAGATCAAACATATGAAGCATGGATAGCAATTGAATTTTCTTTAACAAAGTTCTAATATAATTTGATCTTCCTGGCGTGATACCATCCGGAGAGGAAGTTTAGACATTTTAATCAAACCATTAACCTGAAACGGATCTGTATTTTGTAGTTCGTATGATTTTCAAATATGGTGTAATTCTTTGAAAAAAGTTCTTATTCTTCAGGCATTACGGTTCTACTTCTTCATTAGCAACCCCCAGATGGAATGGAAACGCGCTGTGGGGAAGATACGTTTAAAGATCCCGATGTTCGGATGCGTGCCAGGTCCTGTCAAATCACCACATATAAAAGTGTTTTCCTTATTCAAAAATTGATTTCATTTTGATAATCAGATCTAAACTAAATGAAAAAGATTTCATCTGTTTTGGTGGAGATAAGTCCACCGGGAACGTGAATGAGGCTTTTCTACCATAGCCCATTTGCAAAACAATAATAGTGCATAACTGTCCTGACGAAATTCTTTATATAAGATTAATAGTATAACCTTTATTCTATTTTTAAGAGGTTTTTAGGCTATTGAAGAAATATTTCTCTCCATTTGTTTAATTCCCTATAGATTGGATCAACCATATCTAGTGACATCATAACATTTCCATTTTTATCATCGGAACGGAAAGAGCCAAAAAAAACCCAAAAAACAACCCAAAAAATAATAATGTCATTATGCTTTGTTTTGGAAATTTTTTTGATCATTTAACATGCCCAATGCTATATTTATTAAATGCAAGAAGTGTTTTCTGAGTTTAAGATTTCGGACATATCGCATTTTTATACAAGTAACATTGGAGAAACAAAAAGGAAAGATCCATATTATGATATGGAAAATTTATTCCTGACAGCATCTGGAGAAGGCTGAATTCAGGACCCCTAGATTCAAACGGGAATTGATTCAACTATGTCCCAAAATGGTATGGCATATTCCCTAATAGCAGTTCACAGCGATTCTTTTTTTTTTTCCAAATTAAGGGCTCCAAAAAAAAAAAAATTCTATATCTGGGAATCATATTTCTACAAAGAAAAAAGCACCATTTAAAAGCAAAGCTAAAAGAAATGGATTTTTTTTCTCTGTCCATTGACTATGTAACAGATGGATAAAATCGTTTAAATTCAAAAGTATTGCTGAAAACAAACTGAATTAATCTTTTTGCTATACGTCACAACAAGAGTCAATTCCATCCATTATTCAATTTATTCCATAGCAAAATAAAGTTTATGTTTATGTAAGAAAAATTAAATGGATTAAAATCAACATATAAAACATGCCATAAGAGGAGTTATTTCTTTTATCTATCTAAAATTTTTGTTGATATGACAAAACTTTGGGAAAAGCCTTGACATAAACTGTAACCTGATGATAATAAACTGCAAAATGACCAAAACGGATCGATTAACATACCCTATTTATTATTGAATCCATTCTGAATGAACCTTTTTTTTCATGCATTAAAAAATTTCCCTATTTTCTTGGTTTTTGGTTTTAAGATTTCAATTATTTCCTGCATTTAACACGAATGTGGCTCATAGCCGTTACAGGAAAAAATTTTCTTTTTAATCAAATCCAGATATACAAATCAACAATTCGCCCTTGCATGGAGTATTGATGCCATATATGGTCTGGTGCCCTTCTGTTTGCCTCAGGGTTCTTGATAGGCTCCAGAGGCGGATATGCAA